TCCTCTGGGAAGTCTCGAGGAACCTGCATGAAGTCAATGCCGAAAAGAGGTACTCGGTTGGGCAACTTCTTGTGGCCGCAGGTGATGAGCAGGCTCTCGAGACACTTCTTGTGGCAGGCCAGGTAGCACTGAAACGGCAGAACCGACCCAAGTTATAGTCTGGATGTGGCCCAGCACTGCAGAGGCTGAACTTGGGGAACTTCTCCCGTTCCCTCAACCACAAAAGTCCCACTAACCCCAAAAGGGTTGTGTCAGGCAAGTGGCCGCTGGCGGCTTACTCAAGGACAGAAAAATACACCTCGTGTGATGAAGATGAAGAAGGAGGGGTCCCCCCTTCCCCCAGACCTTCAGCAAGGCGATGGTCACCTCAGGCTTCCGCGCAAGGCATCTGCAATGACATCTTCTAGCCCTCACCTCCTCGCACTCGAAGCCGCTGACCATGAAGGTGTCGCACTCCCTGCACTTGCACGGTCCCCGCAGCTTCCGGAGCCGGTGGGTCTGCGCTGCGCTGGAGAGGAGGATGTTCTTAAACTGCTGCTGGGATGTGCCGTTTTCTGCGGAAACAGCATTAAAGCGTGAAAAGGAACCGATACGGAAGCACGGTTTCCACCTAGCGAGTCAAATACGTGCGTGGCTCACCATTTTCAAAAGTTTGCAAGGAATCTCTCTCCTCAAAATCATCTGAAGAGGACATGGTGCCGGTGGATGGTGCTTTCAGCAATTTCCTGTTAGAGTTTCCTTGAGAAGAGATAAAATATAAACAGCTGTTCTCGTCCTCATGATGCGTAAAGTGCGGCGCTGTAGACTTTGTTCCCACTTGAAGGGTTTGGGCAATATTAGGCAAGAATTTCTGCAGCTCTCACCTGGGCTAGAATTGGGAGAATCCAGGGACCGGGATTCACAACTCCCGCCGAGGCTTTCCGTGTCGCTGCAGAGGGATTTATTTGCACCTGCGGAAGGTGGATAAGGTGACAGACCATCCCGAGGAGCCTGGGGATACTTCAACACGGGGTTCAAGTCCAGAATAAGCTCCCGAGAAAACCCATAAATACTTGCCAATATTTTCTCCCAGCCTGAGCAAAGCCTTAAGCACTGCCCTAAGAACCTGGGACCTCTCCCACTTCTTGGGCTACTAATTTAATTTAAACTGCGGTGGCTCAAGAGAAAATCATGTTGTCTTTATTAAATTCAACCTACTCTGTTCACCATTTGTGGAGAAGTGCTTTCTGGACGTGTCTTCGGTGTGCTCGCGTCCTTTGCTGCGGAAGAGGGGCCTGTGTAATGCAATGCCATCTTCTT